ATTTCCCGATCATGTGTTTTGCAGCCAGATGTTGATAATTAAGGCACAAATCTGGCTGTGAGTGGTGTGTCATGGCAGACACTGCACAAATAAGTGGAACTAACTGATGAGAATGAGGGGGAGCCTGGGGAACTGAGAATGAAAGAGAGAGAGATGATGGCTAAGCACATGGCTAAGCAAGTAACTGTTCTGACAAACAGAAGAGCCACCTTTGTCATCCACCCTCCTTACAAACTTGGCACAGGGCTCATCTAGTTCCATGGCTAACTATCCCTGAATTTGTCCTAACAAGGTTTTCAGTAGAGTGTAGAAATAGCTTCACATACCTATCTTTATAATCTGTTAAATCAAATCCAGTCTAACAGAATGGTAGGATTTTGTTTATCTTCCATATAAAGAACTTGATATGAAGGGCATGGCATTTCCAAATTGTCACATTGACTGAACAGACTTTATGAAATCTACAGCTATACTACTTATAACTAATTCCAATCCCCAGACACATGAAAATCAGGGGAACACAGCTATCTCATGAAAATGACATTTCAAGAAAGAAATTGATACGTTTTTATCTAGGTTTCTTGTTGTCAACCTGTTAATTACAGTCCTCTCCCTGGTAGAAACCAAGGTGAGCAAATTCAAGTTGCTGTGGAGATGATTAATAATTGTCAATTGTCAGGGTCTAGCTTCACTTAGGAGATATATTTCTGGGCAATTTCTACCAGTGTTTAGATTTGCTTAACTGAGACAAGAAGACCATTCTGGATTTGGTATGTGCTTATCCATGGGCTGGGAACCATGTAAACGTTGTAAAGGGGAATTAAGGTTGAGCAACAACATTCACAACTCTCTTTTCCTAAGTGTAGATGCTAACATGCTATTCTTAACAAGATGGATGACACTTTCAGTGAGCCAAAATAAGTCCTTCCTTATTCATATTCCTAAGGTATTTTGTAACAGCAAATAAAAAAGTATTGATAAAAAAATTTGGGCAATACAGAAAACATGTTCGGTTCATCTATTTTCCATCCCACTCGTCTGTGTGTGTTTGTATGTGTGTCTATGAGTGCCTATGTATGTCTCTGCATGTGTGTGTTTCTGTGTGAGTTTCTGCATGTATGTGTGTGTATCTGTCTCTTTCTATGTGTGTCTGTGTATCTGTATCTATGTCTATGTGTGTCTGTGTGACTCTCTGTGTGTCGGTATGTGTGTCAGTGTCTGTGCATGTGTCTGTGTGTGCATGTCTGTGTGTCTAGTTGTCTGTGTCTGTATCAATGTATAAGTCCATGTCTGTCTGTGTGTGTCTCTGTGTGTGTGTCTTTATATGTCTTTGTGTGTGTCTACATATCTGTGTGTATGTCTGTGTCTCTGGGTGTGTCTTTGTATTCGTGTGTGTGTGTGTGTGTGTGTGTGTGTATGTGTGTGTGTGTGTGTGTGTGTGTGCTTTATCTGTGTCTCTTTGTGTGTCTATGTGTATATCTGTGTGTGTCTGTATGTGTCTGTGTCTTTCTGTGTCTGTTGGTGGGTCTGTCTGTGTCTCTCTATGTGTTTATCACATGCTTTTGGGTAAAGACAACTGGTTCAAATACAGTTCAGTAGTTCAAACAGATTCTCTAAAAAAACTACTGCTGAATATTCCAGCAATTTTTCTTTTACAACAATCAATCTGCTTCACAGACAAAGCTGAGTTAAGAGATAAAAGGTGCATGTTTGTCCTTAAAACCTGCTGTGAATTTATTCAAAACATTACTAAATGATGGTTTAAACCTGGTTTCATCATGACTCTATGTTCACTGACAAATTTCTCCTTAATTCTTCGCAGTAAACATAGAATACGAAGTCTCTGCCTTACTTGAGAAGATGCATGTCCTCATTAAAGCTATTTCTCAGTTGATTTCAGTTGTGTCAACTCATGATTAACCACACTAATGAAGAGAAGTAATAGCACAGAGAACTCGGCATGGAGAAATGCAAAGCAATTTATTTTTGCATCTGTGTACTTTATTTCATTTTGTAAGCAGAACTACCATTATCAAAATGGTTTAACTTAAACACATAAAAAACATTTGTAGCTCTCCAACATTCCAATTATTTATTTTAGTAGATTAAAAAAGAAAACTAGAGATGTTATGATGAATTAAAAGAATATTAAATGAGATTTTATAAAATTGTGACAGTAAAAACTGAAACGTGAAGTATGTATGAAGAAGAAGCTAGTTGGCAGGAATGTATGTGTATTTGTGCACGATTACATATAGACCAACATAGTTTTACATGTTTATCCATATTTTATGCATGCACATGGGAAATATTTTGATGCACAATTTAAGTTGGAAGTAATACCTACTACTAAAAGATCTTGGTCAGAAAGGCATAAATGGCAATATATAAAAAATGCAATAGTGTGATAACTTTCTCCACACTCTTTTAACAAAATCTATAATTCACACTTAAAACATAAGGATAAAGGATTTACTCATATTTCTAAGACATATATTCATAAATAAAATATGCTAAAAATCTAAGCATGCATTAAATGCCTTCTGATTTACCTTGTGTTGAACAGATCAATTAGATTTTAAATATGATTCCCCAAGGGAAAATATGTTATTAGAAGAACTAGAAATGCATTAGAAATTAGTACATCTTAATTCTGTCTTATTCAGATCTTATGGGAAATTGAAACATTCTCTTCCTTCTACAGAGGCTCACAAATGGGATGATAACTGCATCTCAATCTAATATTCTTCTGAAATGGATACAATTTTATGTATGTTTATATATTAATAATATATACCTTGTCAGTCAAAATTTAAGATCTGATACTATAAAAAATATTGTAGGCCTATATATAGCAAGTAGTAATATGCTTTTATGGAGTACAATAGCAATAAATATACATAGACTTTTGATGTTAAGAAAGGGAGTGTTGCTCACTATAAACTACATGCATGCACAGAAACAAAACTTGCACTGAAATATTGAACTGCATAATCTGAAGTGTATGTACAAAGGAAATTCAGCTCTTGTATTTTGCTGTTGTTATGTGATTATCAATAACACATAGTAGTTAGGGCCTGGTCATCAGAAGACAGACCTCTCAAACTCACATCCTCGCTTTTCTCCCTGAAGGACCATCACATGGGGAAGAACTTGAGTTCCTCAATTCTTCAATAGCCTCATCTAACTCTCAAGAGATATTGTAAGGGTCAAGGAAACTAGTATAAAATATAATAATTATATTAGAGAGTTTTTATAAATTTATTTAAATTTCATCATAAAATTAGCTCCAATGAATAGAATACTTATGATATATATATATCATATTTAATAAGGTAATATAATATTGCTCATTGAACATTAAATTATTCTTGTATTATATTTGCTTTTAGTAACTTTTCCTACAATAACCAGTTTCATACAAGCAAAGAGAAGTCACAGTTCAATACATTCTCTCTACACATACAGGAGTCATCAAAGCATATTTATTACAACAGCATTTACAAAGAACAAGTTTGAATGTTTACAGATAATTTCCCATTGTCAGGGTTTATGATCCCATCATAAAAATTCATTTTCCAAGAAAAAACACAAATGCATTAAATTCTGCTTTATATAACATTTTCATTCCACTTTCTTGAGCACACTGGCATGCCTTATTAATAAACTAAGAGAAAAAATTATTTGAATCCTAGTCCAAGTTTCAATAAATAACAACAGGGGTAATAAGATGATATAATGTGAATGTAGATAATGTATATAATCAGCAATATAATGTGAGATTGATAATGAATTTTGAATCATGGCCTGGGTGCAAATGCCTGCTTCACATGCCAGGTTGAAATTGCCATTGATGACACAAAACCAGAACTACAGATTATTTAAACTAACTTACAAATACTTCCAGATGTGAGTTGTTACTTTGATTACTAAATAGTCCTCTTTATGGACAAGCATGAAAGGATTGTCTTCTAAGGTAGAAGAGTTATGAGATAGTAAATCCTTAACAGGTATAGTCTTGCAGGTGTGCATTTCCTGGAGCAGCAGGCACTTGGAGAAGGCCAGGAAACTCTCAACTCTTTATCTTTCTCTCTAAGCTTCTTTGCTTGTGATGTAAATGGTTTGCCCCACAATGTTTCCCCTCCCCAGATACCCATGGACAATGGGCAGGTCTTTCTTTCAACAGAACCTCCAGAAAGTGCCCTAAACCAGCTTTTATTTTCTGTAAAATTGATTAAGTGTTTCACTCTACCCATAGCACACTGAGTCCTAAGTATACTGCTTCACTGTTAACCTGTGCTGAGAAGAGAATACCCTTCAGTAGACGCTTCTTGATTTGAACCTGTAAAAAAGCATTCTGTACCCAGCATCACAGGCCTAGTAAGTAATGCTCTTCTCATTTTGTAAAATGATTGGTGATATAGATGTTCCCATTTTCATGACATATGCTTGCTGTTCAGTGTAGCATTCCTTCTTTACATGAGCTAGCCAGGAACCAAGCTATAGATATTGAGCTGGAGAATTTTATTTGGTGCCTAGCATTTCCTTAAGGGTCTCACTGAGGCCTTTGTTTCATGTAATCGCTAGGTGTTTTTATTCAAATAAAACATTTTAATCAATTAAAGTGGAGACAGTAATAATATACATCTTTTGAAAATTTCACAAATGTATCTCTACCATATGGGTACCCCTGAAAACTAGGTGAAGTGCCTTGTAACAACCAATCAAAATAGACATGGTAAATAAAGTTTAAAAATCTCAAATCAGCAATCTAAACCATGTTTCTAAAAATAAGTGGCATTCTGACATAATCATGTACCTAATTATCTCCTTTCTAACTTTATTATGCAGAAATAAACAGAGTTACTGCATAGATTCTCCACTCATGCATGTTTATGTGTTTAGCATTTTAAATTCTAACCATGCAATAAATAGCATTTCTACAATATAGCAAACATTAACATTTAAATGTCTTTTTCTTAAAATAATAAGGTTCTTACCTTGATCAAATGGCTTTCCTGGGCTCCAGGTGCGGAAATAATCATCCTAAGAGAAGAAAATAACATGATTTAATTGTATATGATCAATTAAAATACATGGATTCCCATAAAATCTAAAATAATATATGAAACAGAGAAATAGCATACAAACCTCCACTTCCTGCAATGGCAAGCAGCAAATTTTAAAAAAGAAAAAAAGAAAGGGAACAGAGAAAAAGAACAGTTATCAAAAAGGAACACAACTGTATACAAGTTAAAGAAAGTATTTCAATGTGCTCATTTTCATTGGAAGTCAGGGGTTAGTGTAACAATTTAATTATTTTTGTTGCCACTTCTCTTAAATATTATAATGAGCTTCTTTCAATTGCAATTCAATGTGCAATATAACATGCAGATAATTACCCCTAAGCTAATAAGCTGTAAAGTATCCTACTAGATTCCAATTATAGGACTTCATTTCCCACTAGTACAATAGTAAATGGATCCATTAATATAACAGGGAAAATATCAAGTGATTCTGCAATAGTCCATAGAGTATAAATAGACTTTATGCAAATTATTAACACTTTAATTGAATAACAAAGGAGTCCATCAAAATGCAATTGGGATATTGAACAAAAAAAAACGCACACCTAATTAAATCCTGGTTAATGTTTAAATATTTAATATGGAAAAACATATATAATATATTTTGTCTATTCAGTGAATGTAACTGAATGACATAAAACTGGAGCGATGCACACCAAAAAAATTAAAAGTCTCATCTACATGCATCCTGTATTATGCTTTACCTTAAGGCCTTGCAAAATAGTTCATTTGTAGTGTCTTCAATTGTGAATAAAAGTGATTTTGCAGCTCAAATTTATACATAGTTTCCATAGTGATGACATGGTATGAGAAACAAAACAGAGCTTGAAGTGTTGCAATAGTTCTGGGCTGCATACCCAGACTCACTTGCTTAGATGAAAAACTATAAAACTCAGAGTACATTGTTATGTTTTTACCCTCCTGTCCCAGGTCCTCTTCTGATGTTCATATGTTCTTGTCTTCTTTTCCCCCAACTTTGTGACCCAAGTTTTAACCAGGAGTCTATATGTGACCCTGGGGTTTGTACTGATTTTGGAGAATGGCAGTTTCAGCAATGTTCCCAGTCACAACTGGAAATAGTGTCAACCCCTTACACATAACATATAATTGGTTCACATTTCAGTTTGGAAAGGCAGGGTTTTGCTGTCCCACAACATGACTGTTGATAGCAGTCATATGCGTACCTACTGGACATCTGTGTCATGAGTTCATGATTGTATTGTCATGATTGTATTGTAAATGGTCACATGATAGCCCTTCACAGCATTTTTGGCTGTCTTCTATCTCTTGAATCACCCCCTCATATTTTTTTGAGCCTTAGAGCTGGAAATATGAATGTCCTGTGGAGGGATGAGATCTACTCAATTACCACTTATTCTCAGTAATTGTTACAACTGTGTGCCTCTAAATTCCCTTCCTGGAAAAATGAAGTTTCTTTCATTATGAGAGGATCATTTGCTTATGGGTGTAAAGAAGAATTTAGAAATTTTACTTTTAATTGTGAAAAAGAATCACAGTTTTTCCTCATTATAAAAGTTAAATTTCATGTCCAAAGTTCTTGTTTTCTTATTTTAACTGCTAACTATCATCTTCTGGGCTCCTACCCACACACTTCAAATGAAAGGACAGAAAATCCTTAGAAGTCATATTTGTTAGTCTTGTTTTTGAGACCAAATGAGGTTACATTAAAGGGACAAACGACGGCAGTCTGTACTAATAGGTTCTGTTTTAAATTATGTAGAATTAGATTAAGGGAGAATAATGCCCTAGGATAATTAAATCAACATTGATTGTTTCAACTCTTTGAAAAAAAAAACCTCCTTTTAAAAACAATTACCTCAAGATAGAATTCTTGGAAAACTAAGCTTTCAAATTAAATTACTTCACTAAGTATCTAAACTACTGGGGCCACACAGATGGCTTAGTGGTTAAAAGTATGTGTTGATCCCAAATTGGAAAAGAGATTGATTCCAGCATCAACACCGGTACCATTCAACCACATTCAATCAAGTTCCAGAGCACCTGATTCCTTCCTCTGATTTCTCTGACAACTTCTTCTTCTTTTTTTTTAATTTGAATTAGAAACAAGATTGTTTTACACGTCAATAGCAGTTCCCGCCCCCCTTCCCCTACCACCACCCCCAACTAAAACCCTCTCTGCTCCTCCGGGAGGGTGAGGCCTTCCATAGGGAGTCTTCAGAGTCTGTCATATCTTTTGGGATAGGGCCTAGCCCCACCCCTGTGTGTCTAGGCTCAGGGAGTATCCCTCTATGTGGAATGAGCTCCCAAAGTCCACACCTATGCTAGGGATAAGTACTTATCTACTACAGGAGGCCCCATGAATTTCCGAGGTCTCCTCACTGACACCCACATTCATGGGGTCTGGATCAGTCCCATGCTGGTTTCCCAGCTATCACTCTGAGGACCAAGAGCTCCCCATTGTTCAGGTCAGCTGTTTGTGTGGGTTTCACCAGCCTGGTCTGGACCCCTTTGCTCATCAATCTTCCTTCTCTGCAACTGGATTCCAGTTCAGTTCAGTGATTAGCTGTGGCTGGCTGCTTCTACTTCCACCAGCAGCTGGCTGAAGGCTATAGGATGGCATATAAGTTAGTCATCAATCTCATTATCAGGGGAGAGCATTTAAGGCAGCCTCTCCTCTGTCCTTTGGCAACCTCTATCACATGTGCAAACCCCACAAAGATGCTTACACATGTACATAATTGAAAATAAAACAGAATCACTTTTAATCTTCCAAATGCAAGCTAAAGACCATAGCATGCTTATTTAATGCCTCATATGTTTATAACAGCATGTTCCTGCTTGTAGATAGTTATTGTCTTTCATTCAAAACCTGAAGAAGAGTGGGACAGCTGTGTGTTCAAGTCTCCCATGAATCCCACCAGGCACTTAATCTGAACACCTGCATCAGTCTGAGAAAGGTGAACTACAGGTCTGGGAGGGGAATCCCCTTGGAAAACAGATGAACTAGAACTCTGACCCCAAGGAACAGAACTGGAAATAGAATACACAGCAATTTGAGGTTTGTGTGTGTGTGTGTGTATGTGTGTGTGTGTGTGTGTGTGTGTGTGTGTGTGTGTGTGTGTGTGTACACAACAAAACCAACAAAGCCACAGCAGAACATCAGGCATAAAGGTGTTATAACACTGACACTCCTTGGGAAAGACTGCCTCCCCTTTGTGAACTCCCTTGGGAATTTCATGATAACTAATAAAACCATTTAGTTTTCCCCAATTCTTAAAAGCAGCTGTGGAACCCCATAATGTTAAAAATTTGTTTTCAAAGGGAATTTCATGGTAAGATTTAACCTCACTCAAATTTAATTAGTCACTCTGCAGACTGCAATGACCAAGTTTGATAAATTTGGGTTGATAACTGTATAAAACCTGCCATTAGAACTTTCTGGGAGAGGTCAAATTCACTCTACATATGACAGCAAAGAAGTTGACCTTATGGGCTGCTTTTACATATATTCTCTGTATTCTCACATCAGTGGACTTTCACAATTTTTCTTATTTACTCATTTATTTTTTGACAATGGCTTTGCTTCATTAAACCTTGGGAGTTCTGCCAAGATGAACAGTGAATATATATGTGTGTGTGTGTGTGTGTGTGTGTGTGTGTGTGTGTGTGTTCACTCAACCACAATTTCTTTTCCTTCCAAGAGCTTTATGTTGTTATTGTTTTTTTCCATGTCTTCAATTTAGGTTCAAAACAAGTTTACCAGGGATTTAGTAAAGACCTAGAAGAAATCCTCCCAATTGGATAAACTTGGGGCTAGGAAAATAATCCAACCCTGAGTTATTTAAAAACAAGCTGATTCTTGTCATTTAATATATAGCTAATATGAGACCTTTGTCAATTTCTTATGCTTCAGGAAATAATTGTTATTTGTACATGAAAGAGTCTGCATATGAAACTATGTTATGCATGGCATTATTTAGAATGCCTTTTTCCTTGTATTTCAATGTCTGAATTTCTGTCTGTTTTGTGGGTTGTGTGTACTCAACAAAACATTGGTATTCATACTATTTCAATCCAGATAATTCCTTCTTGTGTTGAGAACAATGGGCTAGTCTGTATTTTGTAAGCTATTTGTAGCACCCTGGACCACTGTAAGAAAAATAAGAAGGCATTTTCCCTCCAGTTTTAACAGACAGAAATGCCACCAGATACTGGCAAATATCATTGGGGAAATATTATTCACTTCAAGAACACTGATGTAGAATTACTGTGATACATGGAAAGAATATTGAAACAAAATATCATAAAATAGAGAAGTGCTATCAGTGACAAATTTTCTTAATAAATATTTCATAATATTGAGAGCTTTTACAAGGTTAAGTTTCCAAAAGTCTATTGAACTGATAGACTAATTTTGTATGAATTTCTCATTATTTTTGTTTTCTTCCATCTATCTGTGTTTTCGCGCTGTTTATAACCTTCTGCTATAATAAATATGATAATTAATGTCAGAAACCTTTTCTCTTATATACAGACTCAAGTTTTGGAAGGTAGGCATAAACACAACTCATAGTAATAAAAAGGGTTTTTCTTTCTAACTAGTTAAAACATGGCATTATGAAGGTTAAGTGGGTAACAAGGAGAAGTTTGTATCTGATCATCAGATATTTCTTTCATTTGTGTTCACACTGCTACATTTATATTGAAAGCGCAACCCCACTTAAAATATCAATGTAATTTTTAACAGAGACAGAAAAACATAAAATCCTCATGGAAGCACAAAACACCTAGAAGAGCTAGAGCAATGCAAGAAAAATTGAATGATACTAGACTACGGACAGCTCAAATAAAAATATCATGTTACTGACACATACCAGTGGAATAAAATGGATAATCCAGATACATGCCCTTGTAACTTCAGCCATCTGACTTTTGACAAACAGAACAAAATAAACACTTGAGAAAAAGTGGGGTCCTCAACAAACAGTACAAAGAAAACTGCATATCTATGTGTAGATGAATGAAACCACAAACTTATCCATTCCAAATGGATAAAGGACCTCAACATAAAAATAAAACTATGTTTGTGGATAACTAAGCTGAATAAGTCCTCTCTCCAATAAGATTCAGAAGTGCAATGGTTGCAAGCAGCAGCACCCTTGGTAGTATGTGCAGTCTGATGCCTATATGGGTTGCCCTAAGGGACCTTGGAGACAATATTTGGCATAAATAAAAAAAAAAGAAATAATCTGATTGCACTTGGTAGTTGGAGACTACAGGTTGACTTTATAAACACTAATCACAGCCTCTTCAGCCTAGGCAGATGTGATGCATCAAGCAAATCCTGACTTCAGTCTCCCCCTGAGTATTTGACGCAGAATAATGACACCAGCCTTAGATTGTGAGGATCCTGTCTTGAAAACGAACTTCAGGGCATACACCGAGGAAGCTTCTAATTACTAGTCCAGAACAAATGTCAAATCTACTTTATTCACTACACTATTGAACTCACTGATTTACCCATTAATTACTTTATCTTCCTGGGTTCTTGATCCATCCCCTGACTCCAAACAGTTTAGTTGTCTTATTTCCCAACCTTAAGTGACTGGTCTCTATTTGGTCTTGTCACCATTGCTACAGTTCAACCCTTATCATCCAGGAAGAAAAAAAATTGGTCCTGGTCTCAAACTCCACTCAAGTAGGAAACAATCCAGGCAACGGTGGAGAGGATAACCTAAAAGCCCTCCCCCTAAAATGAGATTGATGACTTCTCTTTATGCCATCCTAGAGCCCTCATCCAGTGGCTGATGGAAACAGAGACAGACATCCGCAGATATACAATGAGCCGAAATCGGGAATTTAGTTGAAGAGAGGAAGGAATGAAGAACGAAGGGGTCTGTACCAGGTTGGAGAAACCGACAGGAACAGTTGACCTGAGCAAGGGAGAGCACATTGACCCCAGATGCTGTCCGGGAGGCCCGTACAAGACTGATCCAGACCCCTGAACATGGATGTCAATAAGGAGGCCTCTGCACTCCAGGGAGCCTCTGGTGGTGGATTAGTATTTTTCCCTGGTGCAAGAACCCTAACTAGAACTAATAAAATAATAATAATAATAAAATAATCATAAAAACATTGTGGCATGGAAAGTGTTTCTGGCCTCCTCTTCAGGGAAAATGCCATATGCAGAGATACCACAGTAAAAGCTCCTATTTATTCCTAAGGAGTATTTCAATAAGCAAAATGCTTATAGTTGGTGTAAGTATTAAAACACATCAGAAAGCAGTCATCTTTTAACTTTCTACAATAATTACAAATTATCTTCTAATATTCAGAACCAAAGAGAATAAAAATAACCTATTATGCATGTTGCCAAATTGTCAAGCCTTTTATATAAATGCAAACACGCGCGCGCGCGCACACACACACACGAATGAATGATTGGGTGACACCTAATAAAATGGGATGCAATTTCAAGTCTATTTTCATGATTTTTGATTATAATCTCCCAAAGCCTCTCATTAACAATTTTACATTTTCTTATTACATCTAGCACATCTTTTGATTTAGTTTTCTACCTTAGAAAATTATGGCACATTCACTGCTTATGATAGCGAAGACATAAAAAAGTGGAAATACATTGTTTTAAAATGTGCTCTGTTATCACATTGTGACCCTCACCTAAGGTGCTAATATGGGAAGAATGACTATCTTAATAACTCAGTACATAAATTTCACAAAACAGGAAATGTATCTCTGTAGAAATCTTATCTAATTTGGTCACAGAAATGATGTAAGTATAAGAAAAACTTTGTTTGGTGGGAAAAGAATTATTTGTGTGAAACAAATTATCTGTATCAGGCCCCCAGGTGGCACATTTATTAAATAAGTAGCAACAATTGTAGCAACATTTATTAAATAAGTAGCAACAAAAACTAGAATCCTGAAAGAATTCATTTATAACTCTTCAGTGGGCATTTTATTTTTAAGAATATTTTATATTCTCTGATTCACCAAAGATTAAATACATAAATCAAATAAATTGTGAGAAATAAGGATGTACTGGTAGGATGATTCCTCAACTGTGTCTGGAAATCTTTGTAAGTAAAGCTAAAAAGTCCTCAGATTTTATAGGAACTATATCTAGGTTTATCACATGCTAACATATAGAACTCATGATTCAATTACATCATAAAAGGTGCCAATAGATTGATAGCCTCTAGTGTTTATTTATTTTGCCATCCTCCATCACAATTCTACCAGAGCTGGATTTTGGTTTTAGTTTTTCCACAGGTAGTCCAGGTTAGCACTGAAACTATAGCCAGTTTGACAGGTCTATGGCTTACAAAGTTGATTGGACAGAGGTCCCATCATAAGGTCTCTCTCATAAGGTCTGGTAATCTGCTTTGGGACTTATCATAAGAGAGGTTCTGACACCTTGCAATGCCCTGTGCTTAACTGTTTGCTTTCTCTTTTTGTTTTTAGTAAAAGGAACATACTCTCCATTATTCCTCATTGTACTTCAACTGTAGAAGAGTTATATGGAGGTCAGGAAAAAAGTATTAACAGAAAGTTCCTCTATTTGCTCACATAAGAGCCCAACATCTTGTAAAGATTCTTCATATAGCTCAAACTCTTAGATAGTGGGATGGGGAGAGACTCAGCATCTAAGAGCACTTGTTGCTCTTGCAGAGGAAAAGGGTTTGTTTCCCAACACCCACATAGAGTCTTACAGACATCTGTTACTCCTGTCCTAGGGAATTACTGCTCTGTTGTGGACTCCTCAGCATCTGACTCCAAGCCCATCCCTATTCCTTAGTGTCAGCTCTCAATACATGTAAACATCATAAAAGGTGCCAATAGAAAACTATTTTACATGAAACCATAAGTAGACACACTTATCAGGATCCCAGAAGACTTTCCTACTAGGTAATGCATCCACAACATAGACAATTTCCTTCAATATTTTCTGTGTTTCATATATTTAGAACAGGTTGCTGCTCCCATTCCTTTTCTTAAATTCCTCTCTCTCTCCCTCTCCTCTTCTGGCTGGATAGTTTTGTGTCAACTGACACAAGTTAAAGCCATCTGAGAGGAGGAATGCTCAAAAAAAAAAAAAGCCTTGATAAATATCAGGGTGTAAGAAAGCCTGTAAAGCATTTGCTTAATTAGCAATCAAAGGAAAGGGGCCACCCCATTGTGGGTGGTGCCATTCCTGGGCTGGTGGTCATCAGTTCTATAAGAATTTGTAGACTGGGCAAGACATGAGGAGTAAGCCAATAAGCAGTATCCTCTATGGCCTATGCACCAGCTCTCAACTCCAAGTTCCTGCCCTGTTTGTGGTCCTGTACTGACTTCCTTTGATGATGAGCAATGACATGGAAGTGTAAGCCCAATAAACTCTTTCCTCCACAACTTGATTTTTTGGTCATTGTTTTGTATAATAGAAATAGAAATGTTAACTAAGAAATCCCCTCACTAGTCTTCCCCTTTCCCTACTTTCCTTTCTCCTTTGTTATTCTGTTTGCCTTCTTTTATTTTATAGAATGATCTCCAATTGCATCCACTGTTTTAACACACGGCATAAATTAATTCTATTTTATGTCTGAGTAAAACTATTGAATATAGATGCCACATTTTACTTGCCCATTAATTTGTTGATATGGACCTAGGCTGATTCTAGAACTCAACTGCTATGAATAGTGCTAGAATAAGAATGTGTGTGCAATCACCTCTATACAGTATTGTCTTGGAGTCTTTCAGATATGTCTCTAGAGTGTACAGCTGGCTGTTAAAGCAATGCTGAGTTTGTAGTGTGATTGAAGCAATTTACATTCCCACCAAGAGTATAAAAGGGATCCCTGCTCTCTAAATCCTGATTAGCATTTGTTGTTTCTTTCCCAAACTTACATTAAACTAAAAATTACACTAAGAAGAAATGAGCTAATAAAGTAATAAAAGATAGAAAAAAGTTAAAAGAATTGTATTAAGTAGAAATGCCACATATTGTATGACTCTAAGCATTTGATATTTGAAAAAGTAGTAAAATTTGATGCAATAATATAACAGTGATTAACAGAGGCTTGGGAGAGAGGAAAGAATAAACAATAAAAAGGGATCAGAAGATATTTAGGGCTAGAAAGGCATTATAAGTCACAATGTAATAATAAATCCAAGTCATTATATATCTCCACAAGCCCTTAAAATACATACTATATAATGTGGTTATACTGAAAATTATAAAATTTAGACTATAAAGCTGTGTCATCATATCATCACCAGTTGCAACAAATATACACAAAGGTCATGGGAGAGGCTGTGCACAGGATTGCAGGGAATGTTCAGAAAATCTAGACCTGTGGCCAGAATTGTTGTGGATCTTAAAATGCTCTAAAATAAAAATAAGCCACTATAAAATTTTATAACATAGGTAGTATATAATGTAGTTCATTTTTATGTTACTAATTATAATAAACTACACACAATAGAAAACTTTAAATGATTTTCAAATTACACACAATATAAATGAATATAAAATGGTACCCTGTATGCCAATAAATAGCCTCGATCACCATAATAAATCTACAGAATAAATAAAGCTTTAAAACAGTAAAAGACATCTATTTAGAGAGGTGTTCACTAATTAGACCTACACATCCATGCAAGACTATTTTGAATTAGCCAATGAAATTAATTATACAACATATAAAACAAGAATTTAACTTACAGTAGATACCAGCAGCTCTAAATTCAAAATATTAAACTGAAATATTCCATTTCATAGTTAAGTTTTCTGTCTTATTTTAGAAACAAACCAATAAGGATAAATATTTTTATATAAAGTAAAACTTATATGGAAAAACAAAACAACCAGCATATCCAAAAGTACCCTGTACAAAGAAGGAACTTCTGGAGGCATCACCATCTCAGACTTCAAGCTCTATTTTACAACTATAGTCCTGAAAACAACCTGGTATTGGCATAAAAATAGACAGGTTGACCAATGGAATCCAATTGAAAACATTGATATTGATCAACACACCTATGAACATCTAATTTTTGACAAATGATCTAAAACTATACAATGGAAAAAAGAAAGCATCTTCAACAAATGGTGCTTGCATAACCAGATGCAGGCATGTAGAAGACTACAGATAGATCAATGTCTATCTTCATGCACGAAGCTTAAGTACAAATGGATCAAAGACCTCAACATAAA